GTGTTTGGTCCCTTGGTGGCTTTCCATAGAGTTTGAAGAACTCTTGAGCTTTTGATTGATGTTTGAGATGATATATGGCCACTTGGTGAAGTAGAGAGTGCACACAAGAGCTCTTTTTACTCCATGTATAAAGAAAGATGATTTTTTGGTCATTTCTCAACTTAGGGTTTTAGATCTTTAAAGTTTATGGCACTGTAACGGATAAGGTTGGAAACTTTATCCATTTAGACATCTTGTTCATTTAGATTTGAAAGTAGAAGATTTGGACTTATTAGATTTAGACAAGAAAGATGCATTCTTGGACTTCATGAGACTTAAAGTTTAGATCTTCCTTGATTGGAGTGTCTTAATGGATAAAGTTTGAAACTTTATCCATTAGGACATGGTTAAGGATCAAATCTAGGAATTTCGGGAACTGACTTAATGGATTAAGTCATTTTACCATTAGGACATGGTTAAGGATCAAATCTGATGTGAGCTTGTTATGTGAAGCTACTCAGCAGTTCTAGTCTGGATGGCGGCAGCACGAAGAAGAGATGAGAAGTTGAAGACAATGTTTACCAAGGGTTCCAACACACTAAAAAAACCCAATCAATGGTTCTAACATAATCAACAAACCCAATCAGAGTTCCAACACAATAAATAAAACATGTGACATCCCCAAAATCACGGCTAGAAAAGACCGATTTTCATTTATGCTTTTAAAATAATTTCAGAGTAAATCCTTTTGATTTGAAAGAGTTGTGGAATTTGTTCCCAAAAACAAAACATGATAAAACAATGTTTACCAAAGCATTTCATAAAAGAAATGTATTTTCATTATATAATCAAAACTCAGGGTGTCATGTTCCGATACAGACCAATAAGCATAAACGATAACATTACAAGTCATTCAACAAATATATACATATACAGACTTGTAAACAAAACAACTTGATGGTTCATCCATCTTACGCCCTTGCGCCACTTCCTGTAATACAAATAAAACTGAGTGGGTCAGGCTTGGGAGCCTGGTGAGCATGTACGGTTTTCAACCCACAATAAATAAATTATATTTAATTTCACCAACCAATCACTATCCCGATTACTCATTCCCGTTATCCTCACTTTACGTCCCTAAAACAACATCTTTCTCAAGGGACTTAATCTAGGATTTTCATCGGGACGGACATTACTGCTAAGGGGTTTCCTCAACAATAGATATCCTAAAGGCAACCATGAGGGGGATAGAGTACACCGGTGAACACATCGTTCACAACACCTACAGGTTATGAACCTGCTAGCGTTCCACGAGACTGTCTAGAAGGAGTCTGTGGTCGTTATCCATACTCCGCTGAATAACTAGGTCAACAACAACAACATCGAGGCCTCTCATCTATTTATTACACACCAACTATCTACACATGTTCTACCCAACATATTAGTAGATAAAAATATATATATTTTATACATACTTTAAAACCTGTATAGCATTTTCATCCAATACATATTTCACATAAGAGATGAGGCATACCCACATAACACGTATTTCATAGAAAACAAATCAGATCTATGAGATTGAAGAGAGTGAATATACATTCACGCACATAACAACAAAATTATACACATAACACGTATTTTGTATAAAATACTTCATAATTATGCGTTAGAAGAAAGTAACTACACACTCACTTGATCAGAAGATGATCGGACAACACTACGGCTTGCAGAAGTAGTAATCCTCAGCAGATCTGGAAGATCTCTACAAAAGTCGAACTTCTCGCGGGCAGAGCTTCGGCTCGGAAACTGCACTTCTCGGGATCTTCGGGATCTCGGGACTTGCTTCGGGACTCGGGAATGATACCGGGGCTTCGGGGGTAAAAATGCAGAGCTTCGGCACGAAATGGAGGAGAAATGAGCAATTATGCCTGGACCCCTCGCATCCTATTTATAGGAGGCTGGAACCTTCCAGTACGCGGGACATACGCCTGTACGCGGGGCGTACATGCCTCCGAAGTCGTCACTGCATGCGTCATCCGAAGTGTCGACATTTCTTGCTGTACGCGGGGCGTACTCCGGATGAGTCCGGTGACTCGTCTTCGGATAAGGCCGGATTTAATAATTACATTTAATTATTAATTATTTATTAAACTTCGAAAATTCATATCTTCTTCATTCGAACTCCGTTTTCGACGTTCTTTATATCCACTCGAAGGTGAGACTACGCTCTACAACTTTCGTTTAGACTGCGTCGGCTAATTTTGACTTTATTTTTATTATTTATTTTTAATAGGCCGGGACAGAAAATTTCGTTATAAATTCATAACTTCTTCGTTTGACGTCCGTTCTCGCCTAACTTTTTATCACTTTGATACTAACAACGAGATCTTCGATTCTCGTTTAGATCACTAAGGCTAAATATCGCTCTAACGTAAATTTCACTTTTTATGTCATTCAGCGGTGCCGGTTTTGTCGCGAAACTTTGACAGGTCATAACTTCTTCGTTATAACTAGGATTTCGGCATTCTTTATATCTTCGGAAACCTTGTTTCAACTACTACAACATTATCTAAAGATATCAAGTTTATTTTATACTTAAATTTTGATGCTTATTTTTATTCTTAATTAATCAAACCACATAATTAAGCAATTAAGCACAAAACACATAATACTCAAATAATACACTTCTATTGTTTCAAAACGGGTTACAAAGGTTAACCTAGACTATTACATTGCTAAAAATGGCAAACCCAGAAACACAGGCGTTACAAAACACAATCAAACAATATTTCTATCTTTTAGAACTCCTAAACTTGTAGTCATCATCTTGATCCATCCTCATAATATGATAATATCTCAGGATGATCTGACAAATTCATCCATACCTCTCTCATACTAGTGGAAACTCCAAAAAAAATATGGTAAGCAACAAAGCGTAGAAGATCTACTAGGCCATCTTGTGTATTTGGCTTTCAGATTTTCATATGTGTTTTTTATTTGTTTTTAAGTCACATCCATGCCAAATTTCTCCTTAAGAACTCTTCCTAGCTCGATCCATGAATCATTGTGCAAACTCGCTCCTTTTGTACCCACATTGTTTACTTCTTCAATACAAGTTTACAATAAGCACCTTATATGAGCATTTGACTATTGTCGTTTATCTCCCATTTCTAATAACCAAAAAACGTATACAAATAAGATTTTAAAGCGAGCATAACCTTATAAGATTTGACCAAACATACACATTTCAAGAAATATTGATTTTTAGTAAGGAACCTGAGTTCATATCATTGCATAAAAAGGCATTTTCAACAAAATTCGACACATAAACATAAGGGTAAATAACACAAAAGATATTAACTTTACATCAAAATTCTAATTTGATATTGTTTTTTTTGTCTCAAATTTGACACTGTATTTTCAATTTTTAAATTTCTGATCACTTGACCGGTCGACCGGGTTACCTACTGACGTGATATGATGATGCGTTATTTTTATTTTTTTAGTTATACAAATCACTACTTTTTATGAGTAATCTTTTAAGAATTTTATTTATTATTTATTTTCTAATAGTTATTATAAAATTATATTCTTAAAACAAACATTAGATGATCTTATAAAATATAAACCCTTGTTATAATACAATTTTCGATTTTTTTAAAATTATAATGCATGCCATGGGTTAGAATTCATGAACGTATCACCAAACCCACTTGAATTGTGTTGCGCTTGTGTTATTGTGAGTGCAGTTTCTGTAGGCCCAAAAGCCGCTATCAAACTGGCTAGTTGGAGTTAGATGACCATCAATTTTATCTTGTTTTCAAAGTATTGAAGTGAGTGATAGTGGTCCATCCAAGAGATATTGCTAAATTTATTGCTTTTAAATCTTGAAATTGACTTCATGTTTATCATTGTTTTTCGTTCATATCTGATAATAGATATAAAAATGTTTTTATGTCTATCTAAAAATATATTATTATATGAAGTAATTAACTGTATAAATAGTTCTATGGTTAAAGTAACACGTTTAATCTTTAATTTTTTCTTTAACCCGAACTATTCTTTTTGTTTTTATTTCGTATTTGGTCCCGGATCACCTATATTATCCTTGATGCATTTTTTTTTTCTAACTTTTGGTATTTGTTTATTCATTTCATTGCTTATTTATTTTATTAGCACATGATATTAGCATTAGGCCTTATAACTAGTGGATTAGGCTAATAAAATAATATGTTAACTCAATATAACACGTATAAAATGAAGACCCTTTGGCATTTTGGAACTTGAGATAGTCGCCTAATTTTCCTGGATCCATGGCCGAAAGTCAATGATACAATAATTTAGGATAAAAATAAATATACACAGCAATATCTACAACAAGATCCATATCTTTTATAAAAAATAACATTCTAAACTTATATGAGCATAATTTGATAAATTACTATATAACAAGTAGAAATATAACTTTATAAATCAAAATCAAATATAATTTTATAAATCATAATCAAATATACTTTATTTTATTAAAACATAGAATTCATTATTATAAGCATTAATAAAAAAGTAAAAAACAACCATGCAAAAGGCACCAGAATGAAAATGAACCTTTTGTCCGTGTGTTTGTGAGCTCCTCAATAAATATTTCAGAAATTTATGCAACGCGTGTCACCCATTTTCGATTCGTCTCATCTTCACGTTCACATCAAACCCTGAAAAACAAAACCAATCACCATTGATGCAAGATTCCTTTCTTACAAGCACAACACTACAAAGCTGTAAATAAAAAAAATTGAAAACCCATCAAAACCCCCATTTTTTTTTTCTCGTAACTATTCACCCAAACCAGTTAAAATTAAGAATCTTATCAATCTGCCCCTTTTGATTATTGATTCTTTGGTGGGTTATTTTGCAAGAATCACTTTCAAGAAAGTCCGCTCATAAAAAAGTCTCCCTTTTGGATCTCGGTAGAAAGAATCATTTTCGATGTAAGTTCCCTTTTTTTTTTTTTTTAATCTTTTTATGTTTCCCTGTAAATAAATGCCCATTACTTAATTCACTGAAATATCTTTGTCTCCACTCTGCAAGATGTGGATGTTTTATTTGACCTCTGTCTGTGTGTATTTTTTTTAATTAATTCTTTCACTTCATTTATATATGCAGACAATGCATACACTCTCTTGTGCTTCTCTCTCTCTATAATTATAGTTCTTAAATGATTAGGAGAAATGAAATTGATTACAAGTTAAAAGCTGTCACTAATGATTTCATAGTTCTTGTTCTTGTTCTTGTTATATTTCCTAGGACGATTGTCGGATCTGAATTGTCGATTCACAACCGAATTCTCATGGGTGAGTTCAAGATCTATTACCATTTCTTTAAAATGCCACCATTTCGATTCCATTTTCTTCTCAGATGTTTCTGCATGTGGGTTTGATCCTGTCTCCGTTTTACAGATTGAACATACAAAAACCCTACTTTCCGAGTCCTCTGTCTTTCAAAACCGCATTTCGGGGGTGATGATTCAAAATTAAAATCCCGGAACTGTTCTAATTTAGATTTAGAAAAAAGGGTTTGTGGAATTGAGTAACGTAAAGATGGGATCGAGAGAAGAGAGACATCAACATCATGATCTTGTCCCATTAGCTGCATTGATCAGTAGAGAGATGAGAAGTGAGAAAATGGAGAAACCAACTGTTCGATATGGATATGCAGCTCAATCAAGAAAAGGCGAAGATTACTTCATGATGAAAACCGATTGCCAAAGAAATTCCGGTCATCAATCATCAAGCTTTTCAGTTTTCGCAGTATGTAGTTCTTGATTTTTCATCTTATCCAAAATATCCATAGCTCATTAATCTTTATCGAAGACTTCTCTTCTAGCAACCTTCAACATGGCCCACCCAAATCTGGAATCAAAACTCTAACGAAAAAGTTTCTAATTTTTTTATTTTATAGATATTCGATGGTCATAACGGGAATGCTGCAGCAGTTTATTCAAGGGATAATCTTTTAAACCACATCTTGAGTGCGATTCCTCGTGGTCTTGGACGTGAAGAGTGGCTTCAGGCATTACCTCGGGCATTGGTTGCAGGTTTTGTGAAGACCGATAAAGAGTTTCAAAGAAAAGGCATGCCGAATTGACGATTTTACCCTTTCCCGATTCCTTATAACTAGTAGCTTCGTTATTTTATAAACTCATGGTTGACTTATTGTAGGTCAAACTTCTGGAACTACTGCTACTTTTGTAATTGTTGATAGATGGACTGTAACAGTTGCTTCGGTTGGTGATTCACGTTGCATTCTTGATACACAAGGTGGTGCTGTGTCTGTTTTGACTGTTGATCATAGACTTGAAGAGAACGAAGAGGAGTGAGTAAAAATTATGAAAGTTGACTTTTTTAGTCCTCCTACTTTCTGTTATGTTGCAAACTAATCATTGTTTATGAAATGGCCAGAAGCATAGTTTATTTTGGAAGATCTGCAAGAAGAAATGACAATGCACTTTCTTTTAGTTGTGTATTATAGCATCCTACTTTCATTTTTTTCTATTATAACATTATACTTTTATATTCTTTCTTATTAGAGCATTTCATTTTGAAAATTCTCCAATTATATTGTTGTATTTACAATTTTTTTTTTGTCTATTTGGACATTATACTCTCAAACTTTACACGAGTGTAGTAGTGAAAACTGCTTGATATAGGACGATATATCTTGCATTTAACCTTTTTTTTTCATCATCTGAAAGTTTTTCCTTGTGTTGATAGAGGAGAGATGTTGATTTTGATTTGGTGTTATTTCAGAAGGGAGCGTGTAGCGGCTAGTGGCGGAGAAGTAGGGCGGCTGAGTATTCTTGGTGGGGCCGAGGTGAGATCTTTAGACTTTTACTAAATCAAACAAGACAAAGACAAACTTCATCATATTTTCAAAAATTCGCTTCATTACATAATCTTTTTGTTTGTCATTTTAACAGATTGGTCCCCTTCGTTGTTGGCCAGGAGGGTTATGTCTTTCAAGATCAATCGGGGACATGGATGTTGGAGAATTTATTGTTCCAATACCATACGTAAAGCAAGTGAAGGTATCTGTATATAGACCATTTACTTTTGGTCTCTGTTCTGTGGGTCCCGTTTTTTCATGGGACCCACAGATACTTTTTTCGTGTCTTCTGACACCATGAAATCTTTGTATGTAATAGTTATCTCATTATTTCTAAATCTAAATCCTTTTTTAAATTTAAAAGTTGTCAAATGCTGGTGGAAGGCTTATAATCGCTTCCGATGGCATTTGGGACGCCGTGTCATCTGAGATGGCTGCAAAATCTTGTCGTGGTTTGCCTGCTGAACTCGCTTCTAGGCAAGTTGTCAAGGTAATTTCTCAAGAAAACTTACAAATAAATACACTTTGACTTTTCAGGTCGTTTGACCTTTTGGAAGTCAAATTCAACCGATTCAAGTATGACTAATCTTCTTATTGCTTGTATGGATGGTTGTTCAGGAAGCATTGAGAACAAGGGGATTAAGAGATGATACAACCTGTATAGTTGTGGACATAATTCCGCCGGACACCGCTATGCCGCCACCATCTCCACCACGTAAAAAGCACAGCAAACTCCGATCTTTCTTCTTCAGAACAAAGTCCCATGGTTCCACTAGTAAACTATCCAAAAAACTATCTGCTGTAGGCATCGTTGAGGAACTTTTTGAAGAAGGTTCAGCCATGCTTGCAGAAAGGTTAGTTTGGTCATATACACAGTTGGTTCCACGGTGGTATACTTGTAAAAATGGTCAACAGTTCGAGTCTCAGCAGTTGCAGTATGAGAGTTTCAATTCCAATGTGGATTTGTCTCCTTGTTAGCACTGGGCTCTTATGACACTTATGACACACACGTAGCACGCTATTGTGTATCTGATTCAGACAGACTGTGTGAGCCAGCTCAGAGGTTGCCAGAAGAATAACTTTTTTTTTTTTTTTTTTTTTGGATATATAATGTAGGTTGGGGAACGAGGAGAGTGGTGGTTCATCAACAACGGGTCTTTTCATGTGTGCGGTTTGTCAAGTTGACTTAGGGGCAAGTGAAGGGATATCGGTTCATGCAGGTTCTATCTTTTCAACAAGCTCAAAGCCATGGCAAGGTCCATTTCTTTGTGCTGATTGTCGTAATAAGAAAGATGCTATGGAGGGAAAGCGACCTAGTGGGGTGAAAGTTACTTAGATGATTTATTTGAGGTAGATGATTGATTTGAATCTAAAGGTGGTGTGACACCATGATGTATATGTGGTAATTGGTAATAATGTTTTCATGAGTTGTGTAGTGTATGATGGAAATTTAGGATTGAAGAGTGTTTATTGTTTTGTAAAGATGTTGATAGAAATTTAACAAATTTTGTAGGGTGTTGAGTTGAGAAAAAGACAAGTTAATTAAGAACATTGATTGATTCGGGTGTGTCCTTGTTTATGGTACTAAAAACGGTTTATCTATGATTATGACGTTCTTTATATTTGAGTCAATATTGAGATGTAAACCACCGACTTGATAGTACACTACTAGAAAAACGTGTCATTTCCGACGATGTTTTCCATTAAAGGTTATTTTTGACGGAAGTTGGAAAAAAGTCAAAAACCTTTTGGGTAAATATTACCCATGGATTTCCAACCGGCAAGCTTTGACCTTCTTTGACCTTGTGTGACCACACCACCGATAAACAGTTTCCATCACTAATGCGTCAATAAAATAGTAATTTTTTTTTTAATTATTAAAAGTTAAATTTTTTTGCCCAAAAATACAGAAAAAACCTATAGTCAAACACAACTAATTAAACATTATAATAAAAAAGTGTCAAATACATTACAAGCTAGTGTCAAATACGTTACAAGCAAATGTCATACAATTATGTTTAGAAAATAAAACTAAGAACTATTTGTTGGATTATTGGGTGGATTGTTTTGGTTGAAAAAGGACATTATATATGCTTCAAGTATGGATTGCGTTTGTTGTATTTCAACGTCGAATTGTGTTTGTCTTTTCTGGTTGTGTTTGTCTTTGTTGTAGTTTCACTTCCTTTGCGCTTCCTTTTCTTGCATGCTAGAAATTTCATTACGCAGCCTTACTACCTAAAAATGGTTAGACAAACATATATAGTTAGTAAATCTATTTAAACTTTTAAACCGTCATAGCAATGTACTTTCGTTTATTATAAGAACATGTTATCAATTTAATCCATAATAACAACATACTATCTTTTTTTATCCATTATAACAACGTATTTTTAGTTTATTATAAATACATGTATTAATTTAATATGTAATAACAACATGATATACTTTTTATCCATTATAACAACTAGATGGGGAACCCCCACGTTGCAGGGGTCGGATGCTACAGTTTTTTCCGTTGTCGGATGCTAAAGTTTTTTCAATTGTCGGATGCTACAGTTTTTTCCGTTGTTTGTTCTTTGTAAATGTTATTTGATCAGTTATTTGTTTATTTGATCAATCAGGTGGTCAATAATTGGATTCAACATTGGGGTTTAAACCTCCCCATCTGGTTAAATAGTGCACTCTGCATAGATCCTTTGATACTTATACATGTAGAAACAGTAAGGACATGCTATCCAAAATGTAGGCGAGTCATCCACATTCTCGGCTTTTGCTTCTGCTTCTGCTTCTGTTTCTATTTCCACCAGTTGCAGGGTGATATTGAAGAGACATAAGCTACATTACTTCCTTCATGCTCTCTCTTTTCCTTCTGATGTCAATGTGCACCTTGTATTCCATGTTTGTTTATACTTCATTATGTCATCAAATCTGTCAACAAACAAAAAACAAATACACATCATGTAATGTTTAATGTTAAGAAACAAATGATGAAAATAGTTGAACGGGTAAAAAAGTAAACATGTTATAATTATCAATATTTTTTTTTAATAATAACATCAACTTTCAGTCCTTATTTCGTGATTATGCTTTTGAGAAGCTTCATTGTGGTCAATCACATAAGATTGAATTTTTAAAAAGTTTAAGCACTAAAGACTTGGTAAAAATTTACGACTATAATTTAGGATAAAATATTGAAAATTCGTCCTCAATTATTTTGTATTTATTAAATATATAACTTTTTCTACATTTGGTATGGAAGATGGTAGAGATTGTGATACCAGAGCTTGACCAGATGCAAACGGCTCATGTTATTTCGATTGCTGCTGAAGCAGCAACCTCATTAACACTTCCAAAGGAAAACCTACTAATTTGTTGTTGTTTCAGTCTACTGTTGACATGGCTAAGGAAATCCATTACCTATTATAATCAACAAAAATGGACAAATTTTCACAGGTATGTCAATAAGCTGGTGCATATTTGAAATACCATTCAAGCATTTTACCAAACACCCACATAATAGTTCAATCAAGGTCGTCATTTTTAAAAAAAAAATCTGCAAAATTGTTATAACAAACATCACATAGACAAATCACACAACTAAAATTAATAACACAAAAAAGTAGCAAATGGAAAAAATAGAAGTTTTTTTTTTTTAAATAGATAGGTGTTAGGGCTTGACCAAGGAGTTGGTGTTACCTTGCATCGTTAGATGTATTTCATCTTCATTTGACAAAAATAGCCTTATAACACCCTGGTAAGCTCCATCTGAGTCACCTTGTGAAAGACAGTAAATGAGGAATTTGAACTATACATCAAACCCAAAACTTGAATAAGGGCAAAAGACATCATATTTATATGAATCCTATGTTAAGAGACTATACATACCTTTAACCACCATCTATTTTTTGTAATTCAGATATTCTTTTTTTGAAACCCATTAAAATTCTTTAAATCCTACAAATCATGAATTTTATAGCAGATAGATTTAAATGAAAAGAACACAATAAGACAGATGATAAAATTGAGTCTGTCTCATGGAGGTGATAGCGATGGACATGGTGAACTGTAAAATTCTCTATAACTGGTATCCAAGTACACCCATGACCTGGAAAGAAAAGTAAATGAACACATCAGGTTCCATAATATACAACAGAAATCACAGAGGCTATTAAGAAAAGCATTTAAAAATACGCTCACCTGAGTATGTTGTATCTTTGAATACCAATAAACTGCGTGGCATCAATGCAATAGAGAAAGGATGGTAGTTTTGTAAATTCCCATGACTGGTTTCTTGAATGTTGCTTGTAGTGTCTGCTAAAGTTGAATGAGGAGTGAAGTCCATGATAACAGGTGATCCTAATGAAAGAATAGCCACCACCGGAAAATATGCAGGCCCATCTTGGTGGGGCTATGTTTTCACCCAAAAAAATTGTTAATAAATGGGAAAGTAAAAAAGGGTAAGTGCAAAATACTAATTTTTATCGATTTAGTCGTAGTACAAACCATTATGCCTTGATTTGGAAGATACTCATTGATGAGGACATGATTGATTACAGAAGGAAACAAACACAACTCCTCCTTGATTTTTTCTATAATTTTTGTCAACAATGGTGGTACTACACAGAGAAAGAGAGAGAGAGAGAGAGAGAGAGAGAGAGAGAGAGAGAGAGAGAGAGAGAGAGAGAGATGAACTATGATTACTCGTTAACTTGATCTTATTAAATCAAATGAAATCGTTACATATAAAATTCAATACTTAAGTTTTATGACAATAAGGTATAGTATATCTTAATCCCGAAATGATATTGATAAGAGAGAAGGATTAGGGCTTACAATCTTGAGGCAAAGGACCTTTTTCATGGACAATCCCTCCTGTAACAAACATCACACGAAAACAAAAGAAAAATCCCATCAATACCAACATATATTTTAACCTCCAAATTGACAAGTTCGTAGATAACAACAATGCCATACCCTAATTTTGCAATCTCCTGTTTTTCAGAGACTTCCATTTTGAAACCAGAGCTGTGTAAATCTATAAAATCAAAATATAAAACCTCGTTTCAATTTGAGAATAAGAGTTAACCAACTACACCACTGTTCTCAATTTCGATGTGAGAAATCACACTGTTGTCGAATACCCCAAAGAACAACAAAAAGGAGAGAAGATAGCAAACAAAAGATGTGTTATTAGATTACATACCTGATTTAGGAGTAGTTTTTGATCGGAATCGGAGATGAAGTCGGGTATGTAGTACAACGTCAGAACTGAGCCGACTTTGAACTTGTTCAAATGATCTTTCGGTTCCATTTTCCTCTGTTTACAAATCGATCGGAAATTCAGAACCTTCATGCTATGACGCTAGGAAATGAAGAGGAGAAAGAAAGGTAGTTAAGAACAGTGATACCTAATTGGAAGGTGATGTCGGTGATCCGAACAGTTTTAGCCGGACCCAAATAATTGGCATCCCATGAAGACGATGATTTTTTACAGAGAAACAGTGAAGAAAATGGTGAGGCTGAAGGGCACCTGCAGATTCAAGAAGGACACCTGGGTTCAAGATAGCAAAACAACGAATCAGTTTACCAGGGGTTTATAAATAACAGTGTTGAAGAAGAAGTCGAGAGAAAGCCGATTTGTAGATTTTGGTACAACGATCAGAGCTCTTTGAAGAACTTCAAACCTTTCTATTAAGTTTGAGCAGTTGTTTCATCGTCTAAGAAAACGAAAGCAGAAAAAAGTTGCAGACATACGAACCTGTAACCATGGGGTACGAAGGTCACCGGGCCAAGGCTTCACATGGAGTCGACGGCATACGGCGGAGAGGGGAGGGGGGGGGGGTGGATTCGCTTACCCGGGTTCCTCTTCAAAAGCCCTAAAATAGAACACGTGTAAACCGGAGACGATTGAGGGGTCACCTGGCTTATGATGGTGGTCGAGTGCCGATTGAGGGATCAATCGGAGACGATCGAGGGGGTCACCGTTCATATAAAGGAGGAAGGCGAAAATAATTGGTCCGATAAAGAAGAAGGTGAAAGAAAGATTACTGAATGAATAAAAGGTTGAGTTTATAACATCCAAATATCCCCTCGTAAGCTATGCCATCTCAATGCTTGGAATGATGGCAGAGCAACAACTATGGAGAATCAACCTTCAAGCAAAGGCAAAAAACTTCCATTTCAAAGTCAAAGCATCTAAATAGTTACCAACTTGCTACAATTTCTTCCGATTCTCACTTTTCCTCAACATTCGGCATCTCCTTATCCGATTGAACTCCGATAATAACCCGACGACCAAACGAAAACCATTAAAATCAAGAATCAGTGGTTGCAGAACAAACAATATAAATATATATGGAGGTAACGATTTTGTGGGTAGAAGAAACAGGGCATAAAAGATCTAGATACTTACCAACTTGCTACAATTTCTTCCGATTCTCACTTTTCCTCAACATTTCGCATCTTCTGATCCGATTGAGCTTTGATAATAACCCGACGACCAAACAAAAATCATTAAAATTAAGAATCAATGGTTGCAGAACAAACAATATAAACACTCATCTGATTTATGACCAGAAGCCGCATCAAGTGATGTGCGGTTTAAGAAGTTAACCAAATTCATAAGTAAAGTAACCCGAGGAACTCAGACGGTGGCATTGATGGTTCTCAATTGGTGATGCAAAAGATCGATGAACCGGTTAAACCATGGTTTACCCCCGATTTCTCTTTTCTCTAACTTCTGTGTTGTGTTCGTCTTCCCTCTTGGCCGATCAAAACAAAAGAAATGGGTGGAGCCAAAGAATAGAATGGTGGAAATCAGATTAGATAACCTAGAAAATGAGTGGATGAGAAACCGGGTGGGGGGTGGGGGGTTTGAAGATAAGACAAAACCGGTGGGGGACCTATCTTCTTATCTTTATCTTTATATGACTGTTAATAATTTAAGGGACCAAATTGCCAATATATCAAATTTTAGTGCAAAAAATCTGAACAACTACAAATATGGAAACTTATGGGTTATTTTTGCCAAAAAATCAGGATGTTCACTATTCCTAAAAACTATCCTCCTTTAAAAAATCTGAACAACTACAAATATGAAAACTTATGGGTTATTTTTGCCAAAAAATCAGGATGTTCACTATTCCTAAAAACTATCCTCCTTTAATATATATATAAGAATGTGCTCATAATAACAACATGCTAAACTTTTTATCCATTATAGAAATCAATTTAATCAGTAATACCAACCAACTATATTTTTTTTATCTAGTATAGCAATGCACTTTAGTGTATTATAAGAACATGTTATCGATTTAATATTTAATAACAACATATTAGTTTTTATCCACTATAACAATCAATTTAATCCACAATAGCAACGCATATTACTTTTTATCCATTATAACATTGTATTGTAGTTATTATAAGAACATGTTATCATTTTAATGCATAATAATAACATACTATACTTTTTCATCCATTATAAAAATGTAGTCATAATAACAATATACTATACTTTTAATACATTATAGCAATGTACTTTACTTTATTATAAGAACATGTTATCAATTTAATCCACAAAAACAACATAACTCCTCCCGTTGTGCATAATTTGAGTTGGCATACCCTAAAGAATGTGTCCCGATAAATAAAAACTGAGTATCAGTGGATCCCATCCCATATATACGACCCTTTCTTATCCCCCTATCTATACAGTTGTGTGTGGTTCCACACATCAGAGTCATCAACATATTGTGTCTCTGTACTTCTCATACAACCCCCTTATATATGTATCCTATAATTTGTTGGATTAAGTTGTCTAAGTCAATAACTAAATTTCTACATTCTTTTATTAGAAGCAAAGTTCTTTTTGGGTTGCCCTCATAACCATTAGCTTGATAGAATGACTTTTGGAGAAAGAGACCGATTTGTTCATTTATTATATGATTAATAAAAATAAATGATTTACTAATATATTATATGATTAATATATTAATTTGAAATGGTAATTATTAACTAAGAATTAATCAGACATTAATTGGAATTAATTTTGGGTTAATTAGAATTAATTGAAAGTGTAGGAGCCAAGTTGTAATTATTCAATAGTTGAACAAGAGAGGTTCCAAAACCTTCCCATGAGGGGGACGATTTTTGGGAACCTTTTAGGGTTTCTAGAATGATTCCTATGTATAATTAAGGAGTTGGATGATTACTAAATTTAAAATATTAATATTATAATCAAATTAGGGTTTCCAAAGCTCCTTGTATCAACTATAAATAGGAACCCTTAGGGCCTTGTTTTCGTCCACTCCTTGCACAAGCCATAGAGCCAAAAAAATTCCCTTTCTCTTTCCTCTCTCCATATGTCTTTTAGTTACTAGGGTTTTGACTACAAACTGTTAGAGACACTTAAGCGTTTGGTGCTTGCTTTCCATGGAACTTTAAGAGGATTTGATTTAATTATTTAGTATAATAATCAAAAGGTATGTAACCCTAATCTTTATATAAATTTCAATTTTCATAGCTTCTCTTTAGGGTTTCTTGATATTCATAGTTTATTGCTATCAATAGAGAAAACTTAGATCATTTCTAGGTTTCATGTGAACTTAAGAGTTTAAGTGTTTTCCCGCCACATTAATTTTTTATAACCTAGAATACCCATCAGTGGTATCAGAGCCTTAGTTTTCTATTTGATTGTACATAATAATGAATGGATCAAAATTAGGGTTTATTGAAACTAAGCCCTAATGACTTGAATTTTCGCAAAAGGCTAGGGTTCTTGAAACCCTAGCCCCTACCCTTTATTTTTTTAAATGGATAGGTATCCCTTAGGGTTTCTAGTCTCCTTAATTATAATTTTAAACGCCTTAAAAATTGGATAATTAAAAAACCTAGTAACCCTAAACCCTTATTTTCAAAAATTAGAAGAGTATTTGGGATTAGGATAAAATTTGAATTATTTAAATTAATTGTTTAATTAATAGATAATTATTTAATCCCTATGATATAAATTTATTTAATTAATTGTTTAATTAATATGAAATATTAAATCATTAATTAGTTTTAAATTAATTAATTATTAAAAGTTTAATTCGAAAATTAATTTTAAATCCTAGTATTTTGAAAAGTTTTAAAATACCCCTTATACTATATATGATTAAATGTTTAATAGATTATATGTATAAGACAAATCAGTCAAGCAATAATAGGCCTCATTCATGAAGCCATGCTATAAGGAAACAACCTATAAAATGACCTTTGAATGTGTGTCTATTCTCACTAACCGCTCCCCTGCATGGTGGATGGTCGTTAGCCGAACAGGTTGATAAGATATAACCTCTTAAAAGTATGATACTTTAATATGCTAGAACCTTTTATATAAATCCCAACTCTAGTTACTTTAAGATAAAATCTAAAGTGTATGCTAATCCATCAAAACACACATTACTCTTTATATGTCGTTAGTGGAGCATGCATGGTTAACCATCATACTAATTTGGGACTATAAAGTTGAGTGATAGACAAATCGAAAATTATCATTGTTAATGGAGCGGGTATAGTTTACCGACACATTAAATTGAGATGATAAATGACATCGAGATTGTCAAGAGGGTTTACATGTTGGGTTTTATTTAAAACTTAGTTTCAAAAACTACAAATAATGGCAACCGGAAGACTTGAGTTTTATAAAATAACATAAACATTTTATCATTGTAACATCCGGTTTCTGGTACGTAATTTAATTATAAAATGTTGCACTTTTGTTTTGGGACTCGGCGAGTTGGAGGCCCCAACTCGTTGAGTGGAGGTTAAAATTGGACGCGGGAAGAAGAACCTACTCGCCGGGTCGGATGCTCTGACTCGACGAGTAGGCCTGTCTGGAGGAAACCCTAATATTTAGGGTTTTTACCCTATTTAAATGCCTTACCTTGCCCCAACCCATCCTCCATCATCCCTCTTAGTCCAGAAAAACCCTAAATTGAAACCCTAACCTTGTTTGTGTGTTCTTAAGCCATTTTTGTGTGTTTGTGGTGGTTATGAAGCTTGAGAAGGAAGAAGGAGCTTGTGAGTTCAAGTGGAAGCTAGTAGATCCAGAGGTTGTGTCCCATTTCCAGCTCACTGGAGGTAAAAAGCTCCAACCTTGACCATCAATCTCTTAGATCTCTAGTTAGGGTTCATTTCCACCTTTTCTAAGTTCTTATAAAGTCATACTCAGGATTTTGTGGTTATAAAGGAGCATGACTTCAGATCTGGAACCATAGAGGGTTCTTATGGCATAAAGGTGCTGACTTTATGGCCATAAGCACCCCATACATCTTGTAGACTCCATTTTAAGGCCATTTGAGCCCAATACTCCATGCATGGATGTCAAGTTTGGAATTTTATGTGTATTATGGACCCTAGGAGGTCAGATCTATGTTTTGGATGCATCAAAACCCACTGAAATCGAGTGTATAGTTATGGACATAGAGGGACTCGGCGAGTCACTCATGTGACTAGGCGAGTCGGGTCTAGTTTCCCACCAAAACCCTTCTGATAATGGACCATGAGTTGAGTTAGAAGAACATGCAACCAGTTGGACTCATTGAGGACCTAGAAATCATGGGACTCGACGAGTGTATGAACTAACTCGGCGAGTTCAAGGCTATGTCCTAAGAATATGAAGATGGACTCAGTGAGTCAAGGATGAACTCGGCGAGTCCAACACTAAGAGCATCACCTTACATGAAGATGAACTCGATGAGTTCATGAGGAACTCGAAGAGTCAAGGACTAAACGTCCTAACTAGCATGAAGATGGGTTCGGCGAGTCAAAGATGAACTCGTCGAGTCCATTGCAAAGGGTCCCGACTTTGTATCATGGAACTCGACGAGTTGGTGGACCAACTCGGCGACTTGACCAAAAATGACCTTGACCATGATGTTGACTTTGAATTTGATCTTGACCTAAGTTGAGCATGAAATGGTAACTAAGGAAGATGATTATGTG